GGGCTGAGTCTCCAACCACCTCTTAGCATGCCCCGCCAGAGAATGGGGGAAGAGGTGAAGGCGGATTGCATCATCAGGAACACCGTTCAGCTTGAACCCGTTCGTCAGCTGCAGGAAACGGGAAAGGTGCACCCTTGCCTCCTCATCCTTCAAGCCATGAAACTGGACAGATGATGTAATGATTTGAATCCATCATGTCTTGATCTCAAAGTTGTTCGCTGGGATGGGCGGGTAGAGGATGACAGGGCGGATATCAGCAACCCGTGGAGTGTAGTAGTACTCCAAGGTGGGACCCGGCGGCGGTGGATGATGATGAACCCCATCTGCTTGGGGTATGGGGTTGTTCCCCAAGATCTGATTCACCGGGGGAACCTAGAGAGGATTCCCCTGTTGTGGGTTGTGTTCGCCTTCCATCTCGTACTCTTCATCAGAATCGCTGCTCAAATGGCCCTCTATGGGCTCCTCCGTAGCCAGTCTAGCTCGCTGTTGTCTCCTGAGTTGGTGACAGGTGCGTTCAAGCTCCGGATCCAACGGCAGTAAACCTCCTGACTGGCTACGAGTCATGCACTACTTGCACACAGTCAAGCAAGCAAACCCGTGAAGGCACAAGTGTGACAAAGCAAACAATGCTAAAACGAAAGTTAAATTAACAAAATTCACGTTTCTTCAACAACCTAGCCGTCCCAGGCAACGGCGCCAAAAACTTGACTTGCTCCTACTGTCACTCTAGAAAATGGCAAAGTGTAACCACTTTCTAAAGCGTAGTATAGCGGGTTTGGGTTTTAATATCAACCCGGGTCCTAGATGTGATGACTACTCAGTGAATTCTTATTATTTAGCGGTGAAACTTTAGTGCAGGTTCAAACAAGCAAGCAAGCAAGAAGGTTGTTTTCAAGTCGAGAGAGGTCACCCGGATATGGTTCCCCCTAGACTGTAGTTAAGCCGGATTGCAATTTACCAAGTTCAATTTTAATGATAGTTATACTGCGGGAGGTTCTTAAGCAGTCTGAAGTCTCGACTAAAGGTCTCTAGACCCTCTCAATCTGATACCCAGGGGGAGACTAACCTCCACCGGAGTAAACAGATTGAGGCCCTAACGAACCAAACCTCCACTATCGAAGCAAATTCGGTACAGAATAGTGAATTGACACCTCGACTAAAGTCGCCAATTCACTACCTTCAATTAAGGGTGCTCTATCAACCTAGGCAGATATTCTCTTTCTAGGTCAAAGCAGAAATAACAGGAATTTGATCAGGATTCATGTCATTCAACAATTCAGACCTCAATTGAATATAATCAAATCATAGAATCTGTACTTGGGTTCATACAATCAGACCTAACATACAAATCTAGGGTTCTCCATACCCAGATGAATGAGGAAGTTACTCCATGTAGAGAGAAGCAAAAGCAAGCTCAGATGCAGAAATCATGCTGTGAAGGATGAGTTTCTGCTCTCGGTCGTCAATCGACACTTCTCCAAGTGTGAGCCGAGCTCCAATGGTGATGAAGATCAAGCTAGGGCACTTGGGAACTCTGGTTCGTCGCTTTCTCTCTCTAGGAATCGCTTTTTCTCTCTAAAACTCGGAACCCTTCACTTTTGGCCTACTTTTTCCATAAGAAGCTGTTTGTCGCGATCCCCGGCCTGAATACCTGGTCGGGTATTTTGGGTGGCGACCGGGTATGTTCGAAACGCACCGTCGGGTAACAGGGGAAAATCCCCGGTCATGGCCAAGAATCCCCGACCGGGAATTTCTGCTTCTTGCTCGGGGCCCCTTCTGCTTCTCAAAGACGCCCGAAGCGTCAAATCCCCGGTCATCTCCAAATAATGACCGGTCGGGTATTTCTGCTCATGGCCGGGTATTTTGCTCCTCCAGCACACTTCACCCCAAACGTGCTCCTTTCGACCCGAAACTCGTTTCTTTGCCTCGATGCCAACGCTAAGCCCTGAAATATGACATAAACGCACAACCTAGCGTGAAATCGGCTTAAAACACGAGAATCAACATATCAAACGACTCAAGAATCGGGGTAAAAACATGTGTAATCAATCGTCTATCAGTTTGATACTTCAATTTTCATATATGATTATTTTAAATCTAGACTATCCTCCAATCTATAAAATATATGAAGGAGATTCATGGGTTAAATTTTCTCAATTTCAAATATCCAGCAACCATAGTGATTTTTGGAAGGAAAAAATGTCATTTACGGATTTACCACACTGTAATTGGAATGCTTCGTTTAAACATTTATGTTAGGCTTTAAATTTTTCGCACTGATTTTAGCGTTTCCGCTCGGTTTTAAATTCGTTGGGTTCTATTTCACTTTCTAATTTATTTTTTATTTTATTGTTATGTTGCTAGAGGGACGCAAACTCTCCCAGCCTCTGAACCTAGATAAGAGGAAACAAAGATGCAGAAATCTCGCAGCCATAACTCTGTCACCAACTCGGTCATTCTTGGGGCCTCTCCATGGAGCATTTGACACCTTTTCTGCCAGACAAATCTAATCAAGGAGAATCATAGAGGTCCAATAAGTCTCCCCATAGTCGTTTTTCGCTTTGCAACCACACCTGCAAATGAGAGTCGGAGATCCCAAGAGCTGATACTGGAAAATTTACCAACTCTGCTAACAATACTCTCGAGAAACAACATTCGAAAAACAAATTATCCCAGGTCTCACTATTGACATGGCATAAAATGCATCTATCTTGATTAAATTTACCCCACCGCATCAAATTTACCTTGGTTACTATCGCTTTCATGGCCACAATCCATGCTATGATACTCCAACGCACGTAGAATTTACTCTAGAGAAGAGCATACTAGTGTTGTCTGCTTTTCACAGGACGTATCGTATCCCAAATTGCGCTCACTGAGTAGTTGGGCATCAATCTCCCATTCCAAAAGCCTTCATCGATCACCCTACTTCCTCATAAACAGCTGTAGAGTCTGAAGCTTCATAATTCGTCTTCATGCCCAATCTTCTCTATTTTCACCTGTCAAACAACAAAAAGATGGTGTGTTTTCCATAAATCCAATTATCAAACCAAGCTACACATGAATGAAAAATTAAGTTATCATTATTCTAATAAAATCCCCAATCTTGAAAATTCCAATATCATTTTCGCTTCCATAATATATATTGTACTAATCGTCAGTTACAATTTACTTCAATCTAATTTTGGCCTTTGGATTAGTATAACGATTTTATTAAGCCGTATTAAAATAATAATTTAATATGATTTAGATTATGATACAAAACTCAGACATAAAAAATTCTACAAATCCCAACCATATAACCATTTATCGAACAAACATGTATTTTTAACAACAATAGAGTTATTTTGAACAATCATGATACTAGTTTTAATTATACGAGTTAGTACCTATTCCATTTTTTGTGATGTTAACAATTATCATAATCAAGATAAACCTTCATTTATAAAATGATTTCTTAATGATATCATGAACATCAATAATATGAACAAACAACATTAATAGAAAACTGTGATATTGAATCATACTCTTAACTATGGAATGATGTATTGTTAATAATCTACAAATTGAAATGTTGCCAATATAAGCAAAATCGTTAACCATATATATCTCATATGAACGAGAAACAACCAATGGACGAACCATCACTGAAGCAATTAACACTAAAGTTTGAATATCAACAGTTAATAAATGAAGCTTCCAATATTTGACATCGACTGCAGGTCTGCAGCGGAAGAATAAGATGTTGGACATATACGAAGCAACGGTGGCGGTTATCAAATCTATTCCTCGTGATTAACGATATCAGCTTCGTCTAATGCAATCTGAAAAATGATATATGAAGGAAGTGGAAATAGGGTACCAAAAATTCATTTTGGAAAGAAGAGAATGTGTCGAACGGCGTGAGAAAATAGAAAGGTACAAAATGGGATGTTCCAACACAGTTTGAATGTGGTAGAGAAAGAGTGAGATATTGAAATTTCATATTTTTATTTTTAAATATTTATTAAACTAATTATTAACTTAGAATATCGATAATTCTCCTTTAGGTTTTTTCTTCTTGATTAATCTGATTCCTATTAAGTTAAGAAACTTGATAAATAATTAGCTTAATGATTGAATCTAAACCACGTGCTACATGTTTATGTTTTGGTGGAGATAAACTTCATCTAATTGTATGCTTGACAGTTTGAGGATTAATGAATGGTGGATATATTGTTTGGTGGTTGAGAACATCTTTATCTATATGCTATAGTTTTGTTATTTGCTTTGTAATATGTAACCTATTGGTTAAATGGTTATAGATAGAATTGTGTTGATATTGTTATGTGGATGGGGATAAGGGTTAACTCATGGCGATGAACACAGACTATATATTAATGGTTTTTTGTTTCATGTACCATACCTTCAAATTCACAGGTTATATATATTTTTTTTTGTCTGTTTCTCTTGCTTTTGGCTATCTAATTGACTAGGAAACACAAGAATTTTTTCATGTGTCAACTCTTATTGGATTTCTTAATATGGAATTTTCACAATGAACCTCTTTTTGACAATGTCTTTTACTCTCATATTCAAGCTCGCTCATCTCTCCCAAGTGTTTAAGATTATAGATGGTGGTATTATCTCTTTTTATATTTAATTGTCTTTCCCTATATTTCTTTTAGGAGCATAACTAAATGCTTTTGTTTCACATATGCATATGCCGTGAATTTTAGGGAGAACAAGATGCAACATGAAGACACAAAGTTATTTTAACATTTGGTCTTCAAAGTGAGCTCCCATGTATTGAGCATTTGAGATTAATTTGCTCTTCATTGCCCACTGTTTTTTCTATCTCTACTTTCACATTATAATATTAATACTGAAGTTAACAATAAGACATCTAAAGACTCAACTTTTAAGTATAACTTCTGCCGTGCACAAAATACTCATTTGATTTTTCTTTTATGTCTAAATTTCTTAACTCATGTTAAGAATGCTCACTCTAAATCTCGACACTAGAATATTTTTTAAATTTTTCCGACCGGGGCCGATGCTAGTGATATGAAAGTAGGTTGATTCTTTTAAAAAAAGGAGCGTGTAAGTAACCGTAGAAATGAAAATAAGGAAAAATCCAATTTGCAATAATCATCATTTTCCACCGCGCCATCAAGTAGCTGTGACCAGTTATGTCAGCGGGCAGGAGTCCAGCTGTCCTTCCGATTGCCAAAGGATAAAAAAGAATAGGGTTGCAGTTGCAGAGGAGCCGGGAAAGGGTAAAAAAACTCATCCGGAAACAGCCAGATATGATAATGATAATGATGATGATGAGATATCGATCACATGATCGATAATAATCCTCATCTCCGGCGAATCAAAACAATCGGAGCCCATCCCCGGCATTTACCCATCATCCCTAGCCTAACCCTAACGATCCAAACAAAGCTCCACACGTAATCGGAAAGCTACCCCACCTGGGGGTTCCTTTTTTTGCTTGTTTTTCTTGCGTCAGTTTTTGTCCACTCTCCAATTCCTTACCCCAATCTCTCGTCCATCGAATCGGTTACAAACTTTGGTGGCAATCTCATTGATTGCGGCTCACGGCTTGGTGCCAGATTCCTTATTCTATTTCCATCGGCTTCTCTCTCTCTCAATCTACTCTCCGCCCCTGAGAAATCGGAAGTCTCTAGTCCTCCCGCCTTCCGTTCACCTGGCATTTACTCGGCGGTCTACTGCGTGTTCTCTCTCCTTTTCTGGGTTTGGCTCTCTATTTCATCTCTAGCTTTTCGCCCAATCGATTGCCTTTTCTTATTCAGATTCTTGGAGAGGGGTTTCCCCAATTTACTCTCGGATCTATTGGGCGGGTCGCAAGTTTTCTTGCGCAATACGCGAAAGCTGATGCTTATTTGTGAGTTCCCTTTCTTCCCCTCAATCTCATTCTCTACGAGCGTATTCGTTTCATCTTTACTGGCGTTTTCGGTTGACAAAGTCTTTGTTTTCCCCCTGGGTATTAGCCTGTGAATGTTCCCCTCTTTGTAATGCAACGTCGCCAGTGAATATAATTGCTTGTGGGGAAGAGTTGATCGCTTTCATGGTTTCGTTTGGGAATAAATGCGGAATGGGTTTACGATTTGATTCGATGACACTTGTGCAGATTGAGTTTGGGACAAATTTAATTGATTTGGTTGCTAGTTTTGAAAGAGCTTTCTGGGTTCTTTTGTTTTGATGGAGACTGGCAAGCTCTGCGGAGGTGGACGAAGTTGTTTGATGAATTCATTGATGATTGGTGTCTCGTCTTTTTCCTCTGCCCTTTTGTTTATATGTTTTCAGCTCTTCCGAGAGAAACACATTTGTTCATCTGTGTCTTGCGCATTATTTATGGCCTTTGTTTCAAAGCTCTCAATTGTTTAGAAAAGAAACGAAATTGTTGTTAGGTTCGTTCAGTTACATTGCAATGTCATGGTGTCCATAGGAATATGAAGTTTTCCTGTCTGCTGCAACTTTGTTCAGCTTCTGTGATTCTAGTTTCTAGAATATGACTTTTCCAGTGTCACCCTTATGTTATTACTGTATTCGCATGTTGAAAACAGTTGCTTTCGGGCTGCTCAATCTGTTCCTAATGCCCTTCACAGTTTTCTTTTATAATTTTCTTGTGTAACATTGTCGTGCTGGTTTAGGCTATTACATCCCATTTAAATTGACTTGGCCAATGCTTTCATGTCAGTCAGGGAAGCATCCAAAGGATAGCAGCAATACGTTAGGAGACAGTACAACAAGTAATATCTATTCATATAATAACGTATATGATTTGACTGGCCATGGTGACTATGCCGAAAGAGACAGTTATGGCAATTGAGGCCTACCGTAGTCAGGCTAAATTGCTGGTTAAGAGTTACTTATTTGCAGATCCTTTTGTTCCATACACTTCTGTCCTTGGCGGTGTAGTTGCTTGCAAAGTGGTACATCCTCTTTACAACCTAATATATATGTCCTGGTGCTGTATGATTTTTCTTGTTATTGATTGTTGATACTGTGGCTGTGTACTTCCTGCTAACAGGTATATGATCTAACTCAGTTGATTAGCACGTTTTACATCAAGGCCTACACTGGGCTGACGAAGATACAAAGAATTGAATGGAACAATCGGTTAGGGCATATCTAATTCCTACTATTCATTACCCTGTTGGTAGTGTTGGTTGGTCCTTACTGGTCAGTGACCCAATTTTTGCAGGGGGATGTCTTCATTACACGCCATCTTTATAACAGCTTTGTCGTTGTACTTTGTATTCTGGTCTGATCTTTTTTCTGACAAAGTGCATACTGGTTATGTCACTCTACGAAGCTCACCGTTATCCATATTTGGACTGGCAGTAAGTGGTCTTTCTCTACTTGTTTACCCTGATATATTGATCTTTGACATCAATCAGCTGTTTGTGCTCAGGCATCCCAGTGCTGATCTTTCTGAATGGGACTTCTTTTTACCTTGTACCTTTTTGGTAATAATTTGTGAGTGACTTTACAGATGGTTGGTCTTCTGTCGTCAAAAACTGTTTAGTGATTCATCTGGTGTCTTTATTTCTGCACTGAACAATATTGTATTATCTATCCTGTTTGGAAGTACATGAAGCAATTGTATCTGTATGTAAGGCTGATCTCTTGCTATAACTTATAGGTTTCGGGTTTAGTCAATGTCATGTCATCTGCTTAAGGTTGGATGTTGTTTTGCTTTCCTATCAGGGCATTGCCTTTCCCTCTTAGATAATGACAAAAGTTACGAAAGAAAGAGTAACTGATGTACTGGTTTAGCTAGGTGCTTGTCATTGATGTCATGTATTCTGTAGAAAACTAACTCTGGCATGTACAAACTCTCTTCATTTGACAGGTTTCTGTTGGATACTTCCTTGCAGATCTTGGGATGATTTTATGGTTTTATCCTTCTTTAGGTGGAATGGAATATGTAAGTTCAGTTCTTTCTGTCTTTTCTTCGATTGAATTTGGTTCACAAATCTATTGTTGAGGAGGGAAAGCTAGCTCGCTCATCAAACTTGTGAACATTTTTGGTGCTTATGCAAGTTTAAAAGAGTAAGAGAGAACATCTATTGAAGTGAAAGGCATGGCTCCTGACAATACCATGATTGATAGAAGTTTTATCTCATGGAATAGTGGCATCTGGTTTCAGGTTGTTCATCACTGTCTTTCTGCAATAGCGGTTGCATATTCTATGTTGTCCGGAGAAGGGCAGCTGTATACATACATGTGCCTCATATCTGAAGTCACCACGCCAGAGATAAACATGAGATGGTAAGTAGCTCTTTTGATAAGTCCTGTGTGACTCTCAGACATCAGAAATGGTAAAAAGCAGTTAACATTTTAAAATACTAATCATGTCTTTTTGTAGGTATCTTGACATATCAGGTATGAAGCGGTCAACTGCTTATCTTGTAAATGGTGTACTGATATTCCTCTTTTGGCTGGTGAGTAAAAACCTTTCTGCCCGCTTACTGCTTAAAAGGGATCTGTTGTTTGAAAGAATTCGAGTCGTTTATCAGGTTTCTAACTGAACTTTGTCGACTCCTGCAGATTGCCAGAGTGATGCTATTCTTTTACATCTTCTATCACATCAACATGCACTTTGATCAGGTGGGGGGATCCGTTATCCCGTCTTTTTGAGTTCATGTGGATGTGGCAAGACATGATTCTAATATCTGAAGCTGCTTGTGTTTTGTTTTTCGAACTGTCACGGGAATCGGCAGGTTCTCCAGATGAGATGGTTTGGATGCATGGTGGTTGTGATGGTGCCCTCATCGTTGTTTATAATGAACTTGATGTGGTTTGCCAAGATCATCAAGGGCTTGATGAAAACTCTAGCCAAGAGGCAGTGAAACATACCAGAGACAAACAGAGACGGTATATAATTCCATCTTCAGGGTCATGATAGTCATTTGGACGTGTGCAGGCACAGACTAGAGGTATTTTACAGAGGGGTAAAAGTGATGGTAGTCGGCAGTAATTAGGTTTTACATTAATTAGAGCCAGGGTGGGGGATTGGAAATGGATGGTTGTATATTATGTATGTTTCAACAATGTCGCTCTTTGTTCCTTCCTACCTCTCAAGGGCTAAACACCCTTTCCAACAGTTGCCCACGTTAAGTTTCTTCCCTGATATGTATTCTGGAGTTTGAAGGGAAGAGTGGAGCATATTTACTGGGGTATATGGCACAAAGGTGCTATCTTTCTCTCTTTCACTTGGTCTCTTACGTTGTTTCTGGCCTGAGACGCTGGTTAACATAATTACTGTCTTCTAATCATACTTAAGGAAAATGCCTAACTCCTAACTCCTGAGGTAGGCAGTACCATAATGCAACAGAAACTGGTATTAACCAATAGTTGTGAAACTGCACTGGAGGTTGTAACGGAAGAGTCGGTGGTAATGTATTTTGTGATAAAACACGGATTTAATCAAGGTTAGTTGTTTCTTATCAACTACTGATTTAGATTTTGATAGCAGGTCCTCTGGGTTGGATTGTCGGTATTAGGGATGACAATTTTACCCATACTTATGGGTATTTTACTATCCATACCCATTTACTAGGGTTAGGTTGGATTTTTTATTAATGGATTTGGGTTTGTACCCATGTCCAAATACAAACTACAGTTTGATACCTAAACTTAATAGATATACATATTTAGTGCATAATTTTTTTTGTTGCATATAAGTCTTCAAAATATCGATGGAAAATTACATTTTAGTACCTAAAAATTTTCGGTCTTACATTTTGGTACATAAACTTTTCAAGTTTTACAAATAAGTCCAATTTTTAATGTGTAGTTGAAACATCCTCAAGTAAATGGATATCCATATCCAACCCAAACCCATTTAGATTATGGAAGAAATATCCATACCTTAGCCAAACCCATCTACAAACCCCCAACCCCGTTGCACTTCACCCATACCCAACCCATTATCAATGGGTCTACTTGGGTTTTGGTATAATTAACCATGGGTAGATAATTGTCATCCCTATGGTATGGTTTCACAAACTCTGGTATTAACTGAAACCTACTTCTAGTGCCACCACGAGTCTTGACCATTTGCCTGCCACTTCAAGTCCACAATCTTCGCGTCGTTTTCAGGGTCACACGATTGATACAAGATTCGTAAAATGAGGAAAAGCATATATTCGTAATTGAATTTGTTTCGACATCTTAAATTATCGGATGTTATAGTTCTTGGCGGTCATTCATTAAAAGAAAAGTCATGTACATAACTGAGATTAAAGGGGTTAGGGATATCTATAATGGTAAATAGAAAGGGAGAGGTAGGAACAGCAGTTAGGAACCTTACCACCTCCCAACTCCATCATCAGTACTACTGACATTATTTAGAATCATAATCACCATCGGGACAACATCATCATCATCATCTCCGCTTCATTATCGCCGATTTTCCTTAATTTGATTTGATTATGTCAATTGTTGAGTTAAGGTTGTCATCATCAGCATTTAGCATTCAGCATCATCAGCTTATAAATTAATTAATTTCTCCTAGCTAGTTGTGGGGTTTTAATTTTGTTGCGTCAGGTCCCTGTAAGCAGAAGCGACATTGCTGCCGTGGAACCAGGATTATATACTAATATGGATTCCCATAATTAATTACCTTAATTAGTATATGTATACGAGCCAGTAATGCCAACCTACCACATTTGTTGTGCCCCAAAATTAAGAAATCATGTACGGAATTTGATCTTCCAAAACCCTAATACTAACATGAATTCCACTATACCTAATTAAGCTGAATATATTATGAGGAAAATACAAAAGGAGAATACTGACGAAAAATGGGATGAAATGAAGCACACGAATAGAAAGCCACGACTCAGTTGCCAACCTAAAAACCGGAAAGTAGCCAGCCAGCCAGCCGGCGAGGAGATGATGAGCGTGGCTCCGGTGGATACAACTTGGATATCACTAAAGATCTAACTTCACCATCCCACACATTTGTTCCTTCCTACCTACCTCATTATTTGCGCACAAGATATTGAATAATATCTCAAAATTTACAATTACTTAGATGGAAGAAAACGAATGTGAGGATCTAGCTACAAGAGATTAGTTGGAACAACATATAACTGTTAAGTAATTTGGAGTTTGGAACATCCAATAATATGTAAGTTAAGTCTTATGAACAATCATGTACAATACAGGTCGTATCATCAAGTTTAGCAAGTTTCTCATTCGAAGTCGGAAGAAGACACGTTTCTTTAGCAAATACCAGATATTGGAATTCCTACAAGCCACAACCAAAATGTACATGTGTGTGCAACTTTGTTTCGATCGACGATACTTTTTGAAATACCTTTTGATGGGTTTAAAAACTATGTTCATAAAATTTGAACCGGTGAGGAGCTAAATCTTACCGGCTTCTAAATTTATTACAAATTTCACACGATTGATTTTGAGGGTTAAGAGGGGGCTATATCATCTCTTGACATGACTCTAGTTATGTTTTCTACTTATTTGTGTGGATTTTGAATGTTATTCTTGCTTCTTCCCTATGTAAATTTACTCATTCATTTAAGTTCCCGCATCTTAGAGGGAAGGGATCGTAAGACTTACTGACATCTGTTGTGAATTTGTGATCCAGAAGTGAAGGTGATGGCAAACATAAGCTGCCTAGATGAGCAGGCCATGTCATCAGCTAGGAGTTTGTTGACATAAAAGTGAAGTGAAGCAACAAGTTGAAGTTGATATTAGTTTGTAGAAGTTGATAATTGACACAATAAGTTACATTACATAGATGTGGATGGTCGATCCAATGTCACTTGCAACTACTTCAAAAGGAAGGTTGGTTCAGTGCTCCAATAACCACATGCATAAACTATTTTCATGGAGACATATGTTATGAGCAGTGATGTCTAGAATTCAACGAATCATCATGCTTTCGTAAACTGTTAAATAGTATGTTTTATATATGCATGCTTGTTGGATAGCAATTTATAATAGTTGTAATTACATATATTCGGTGACTGTGAATCACACTAGCATATACAGTCTCACTATTCACTATGCTCCTCCACAAATAAATAGGCAAGGCTACATTTCATTTCCCAAACCCCACCAAATTAAAACCCTACCCCTTCCAAGTTGCAAGTACTGATCTCCATCTTAATTAGTTTTGGTGCCATGGCGGCCGCTCCAACTCCACTCATCAACTCCCTCTTCCTCTCCTTAATCACCCTACAAGCCTTGATCACATTTCCAACCCAAACCCAATCACTACGTCCGGCACCTTCCACACCGCCGGCCGCCTCCATCGTCCTCACTCTCACCCTCTCCAAAACCTCCCTCCCACCTCCCAAAAAACGAACACCAACCCAAACTTCCGACATGGTGGAGCCCTTGAGAGGAGTCCGTGACGGCTACCTGATCCCGCTGAACTTGGGAACTCCGCCGCAGCCGGTCCAACTCTACATGGACACCGGCAGCGACCTCACTTGGGCCCCCTGCGGCAACCTCACCTTCTCCTGCATTGACTGCGACGAGGCCGGCATCACCCCGGCCAAGACCTTCTCCCCTTCCCTCTCCGCCACTTGCTACCGCGACCCCTGCGGCAGCCGCTTCTGCTCCGACGTCCACAGCTCCGACAACTCCCTCGACCCCTGCACCATCTCCGGCTGCTCCCTGCCCACCCTCCTCACCTCCGTCTGCCCACGCCCCTGCCCTTCCTTCGCCTACACCTACGGCGGCGGAGGGGCGGTCACGGGCACCCTCACCAGGGACACCCTCCACGTCCACGCCAGCGGTGGTGGGGTACTGGTGCCGAGGTTCTGCTTCGGATGCGTGGGCTCCACGTACAGGGAGCCCATCGGGATAGCAGGGTTCGGGAGGGGTCCGCTCTCCCTGCCATCCCAGCTGGGGTTTGGCAGGACAGGCTTCTCCCACTGTTTCTTGCCATTCAAGTATGCCAACAGTTCCAGCCTGTTGCTTGTCGGGGAAGCATCCCTTTCCTACAGGGAAGGGATGCACTTCACTCCCATGCTCACCTCCCCCCTCTACCCTAACTACTACTACGTGGGCCTAGAGGCCGTCACCGTCGTCGTCGGGACCACCACCACCACCGTGCTTCCCACGGCCACGGCCACGAGTTTGAGTTTGAGGGAGTTCGACTCCCAAGGGAACGGCGGGATGTTGATGGACTCCGGGACCACCTACACTCACCTTCCCGAGCCCTACTATTCGGATCTCCTGTCCACGCTCCGGTCCGCGATCGGCTACCCCAGAGCTGCCGACGTGGAGACCAAGACGGGCTTCGACCTCTGCTACAGAGTCCCCGTGGTGGTGGCGGTGGGGTTTCCCGCGGTGACGTTTCGTTTTCTCAACAATGTGAGCGTGGTGGTGGGGGAGGAGAGTCTGTTCTACGCGATGGCCGCGGCGAGCAACGGGACGGTGGTCAAGTGCATGCTGATGCAGAGCATGGAGGAGGAAGGGGAGGAAGGGCCGGCGGGGGTGTTTGGGAGCTTCCAGCAACAGAATCTGGAGGTGGTTTATGATTTGGGGAACCAGAGGATCGGCTTCCGGGGAATGGATTGTGCTTCCGCTGCTCCTCCTCCTCGACCTCGAGGGCTTGGTGGCCGGAAATGAAAAGTGGCGTGAGGTTGGTTGGAAGAATTGGCAGTTTCTTTCTGTTACCCAATAAAGATTGCTTTTTTTTTCTTCTTTTTCTTGCTGGATTCGCTGCTTTTCCTTTTTGTTCGCATTCTAATGAATTACTTCTTCATAGTCTGATCGTGGGCTCACAAAGATGAGCTGTTCGACAGTACTTTTGTCTCTTGGGTTGGGTGGGAACTGGGAACTGCGACAGGGGAAATAAATTTGGAGTTTTCCTCTTCTCGAATCACTTACCTTTCCATTTCTGACTCGAATCCTTATTCCTCTTTCTTAAAGCATTTGGTAGATCTCGATCTTGAGCAGGTCTGCGATTCAGAACCCGCGTCAGTACTACTTCCTGCTGTAATCACAACGAGGCTACTGCATATAAATATATATATATAACAAAAGGGTTAATTGCATGGTTGGTCACTGAGATTACAAAAAACGTTCACGTTTGGTCACTGAAAATATTTAAATCCAATCTTGGTCACTCAAATTTATAAGTGTCAATCGGGCGGGTTCGGGCTGGGTTCAATCGGGTTTGGGTTCAAACGGGTTGCGGGTTAGTCGGGTTGCGGGTTCATCGGGTTCAGGTTCATCGGGTTCGGGTTCAAACGGGTCGCGAGTTAGTCGGGTTGCGAATTCATCGGGTTCAATCGGGTTGCAGGTTCATCGGGTTTTGGGTCGGGCGGATTGCGGGCGGGTCGGGTTTCGGGTTGTTCAGGCCAGCGCATCAAGTAACTTACTCATTACTCATTACCAACTTACACATTTTATTACACTAATTTAAAATATTTTCTCAACTTTTTAACCAATTTATTTCTACCTCGTATATATATACTTTATTTTTTTGAAAAAAAAACTAGTCAAAATGTTAAATCAATTTGTATGACTTGCAAACTTGTTATGTAATTAATCATAATTGGTAAAGTATTATAGCTAATAGTAATGGTGATATCAATATTTGCAACCAAAAGACACCGTTAATTGTTTATTTGATATTTTAGTATTAATTCAGTAGTAATTTGATATTTTAGTATTAATTTAGTATAACCATACAAATCTGGTATTTGGCGTGTGATATTTGGCAAAAGCATAGTGATAAAAGGAGTTATTTCAAAATAACTCATTGCCCAAATAACTTCAGTAAACTATTGCCAAACGAATTATTTGTAAAATTGTTCGAATTATCCTAAAAATTGAACCATTAAAGATTAGCTATCAAATTTAGTAAAATTATTGTGACTTCAATCATAACTTACTCAATAGCATATATCCTATACACTCAGCCTTATCCTCAATCAACAATATTAAGTTATTATATATTGTTGATTGTATAGCCTAAACCATCAATACATTATACCCTAACCATATGTCCTTGAGTTGTGATTTTGCTAGTATAGTTAATTTAAAAGTGAAATTCATACTTTGATTTTCAAAACATAGATAAAAAGTGATATTTGCTAAATGTTATACCCTAACCATATATCCTATACTTTACACCACATACCTTGTAACCTAACCACGTACCATAAACATAAATTAAAAAGGGATCTCCTGCCGTTAAAGACTTCAAATGACTTCAAGTGAACATATGTTAATAAAAAACTTAGAACCGTCAAAACCATCAATATCTTATACCCTAACCACATACACACTAAACCATATGTATCTTATACCTTATACCCTATACCCTAACCATATACTTTATATCCTAAACAACGAACCGTCAAAGATTACTTATCAAGTTTAGTATAAATTGTTGTAACTAATGGTTAATTTATTTATTAGCCCATAAACAATTACATAATTATATACATATTATCCTTCAAAGCATATAAGAATAATTTTAACTAGTCATGTCCTCCATATAAAAGTTAAAGATTCATATTTCAAAAGCTAAAATTATGAAAAACCAAAAAATTGAAAACACCAAATTTGTTTCCTTCTTTTTTTTCACAAAAATACTAAAATTCCCTCCTTCTTTCTCCTTCCATACATTAGAAAAACTCAATTTTCCCTCCTCTTTCTCTTCCATAAAATTGAAAGAACCAAATTACCCTCTTCTTTTCTTCTACAAAAAGTTGAAAAGTCAAAAGTTTCCCTCCTTATTTCTCTTTCATAATCAAAAGAATCAAACTTTCCCACTTCTTTCTCTTTCCTTATATCAAAACCACCAAAATTCTCACTTGTTTATTTTCTAAAAAATTCAAAGAACCAAATTTCCCTCTTCTTTCTCTTCCCAAAAACTTGAATACACCAAAATTTCCCTCTTCTTTTAAAAACATCAAATTACCAAATACATTACTTTACTTTATTTATATTTAATTGATAATTTTATTGAATAGTTAAATTAACCAAAATTTTAATTTATATATTATATTAATATTGTCATGATCTCAAGTGACCTTCATGTTTCAATTTTTGTAATTTTCTTAAAATACGTGATATCAAGTGAGTTTCATATTTTTTAAATTTCTTATACGAAACGAAAAAATAATTTTACTTAAGTTTAGAATGAAAAACTTTTTTTTGAAAAACTATGTATTGTATATTTTTATAATTATTCAAGTGGATTAGATGAAATTCGGGTTGAGTCGGTCGGGTTACGGGTTAGTCGGGTTGCTGGTCAATTGGGTTCGGGTCAGTCGGGCTGCAAGTCAATCGGGTTTGGGTTAATCGGGTTGCGGGTCAATCCGGTTGCGGGTTAGTTGGGTTGCGGGTCAATCGGGTTGCGGGTTAGTTGGGTTGCGGGTCAATCGGGTTGCGGGTCGGGCGGGTTATGGGTTGTTGACTTTTAGTCAATTTGGGTTGCGGTCGGGTTGCGGATTGGATTGATCGGGCGGGTTAATCGGGTCGGGCTATGTTTTGACACCTATACTCAAATTATTTAAATGGTTCAAGTTTGGTCACTCTCTGTCCATTTCCGTTAACTCTAGCTTACGTGGCAGTCAACTTTCATAGTTGACCGTTAAATATGTAACGTGGCAATTACAAAATTATTAAAAATAAAAAAAAATAATCTTTTATATTTTCCACCTCATTATTACATTAATTAAAAAACAAAACAAAAAACCTGATTCACCTGTTCTGCGTCGTCCCCCGGCACTCCCTGATCCACGACGACCTCCTGTTCAAGTAGCGCGACGAAACCGAGCTCCGCGAACATCTTTCCCAATCGGAGATTTCCCTGCGGAAGGCGAAGAAGGAGAAGGGGGAATTCGATGCAGGGGAGGCGTGGAGGGTGAAATTGAACTCGATTTTGCCCAGGGAAGGGGTGAAGGTGAAGCACATCAAGACCCGAAGTTGCGGCGGAAACGGAGAGGACAGTAAAGACCAGGTTCAAGATGAAGTCAACTCCGCCATTCAGATCGCCATGGCTCGACTCGAGGACGAGTTCCGCAACATCCTCATTAGCCACACCGCCTCAATCGAAGAAAGCGCTCCCACCGATAACCCCACTGCCGCCACCGCCGCCGAGTCCTCCAACTCCGCCGCAGAATCCTCCACCGTCGCTGGCGAATCGGCGGAAGAAGATCGCCTCTCGGGAAGCGGAGGCAGCGGCCCGCAAGTCGTCGAAGAGACCGATCTCAACCTCTCAGATCCAATCCCGCGCACCGACTCCTCCGTCAGCAACAGCTCCGGCAGCTACCGATCGACGAGCAGCATCAAGGAGCTCGATCTGATCCCCGAGGAAGCGGTTTCCGACCTTCGCTGCATCGCTGAGAGGATGCTCTCCACCGGATACCTCCGCGAGTGCATCCAGGTGTATGGCAGCGTCCACAAATCCGCCGTCGATTCCAGTTTCCGTCGCCTAGGGATCGAGAAACTAAGCATCGGCGACATCCAGCGCCTCGAGTGGGATTCTCTCGAGAGCAAGATCAGGCGGTGGATTCGCGCCGCCAAAGTCTGCGTCAGAATCCTGTTCGCCAGTGAGAAGAAGCTCTGCGAGGAGATATTCGAAGGAATCGAGACAGCTGCCATCGATGAAGCTTACTTCGTCGAAACGGTAAAAGGCCCTACAGTCCAGCTCTTCAATTTCGCCGAAGCAGTCAGCATCAGCCGTCGCTCGCCAGAGAAAATGTTTAAGATCCTCGACTTTCACAATGCTCTAGTCGACCTAATGCCAGACATCGAATCCGTTTTCGACTCAAAATCGGCCGATTCAATTCGAGTTCAAGTCGCCGAGATCCTCTCTCGACTCGCCGAGGCAGCCAGAGGGATACTCTCCGAGTTCGAGAACACAATTCTCCGAGAGCCTTCCAAAATTCTGGTCCCCGAAGGAACAATTCGTTGTGGATCAGGGAGTGTCGGGGGACGACGCAGAACATGTGAATCAGGTTTTTTTGTTTTTTAATTAATGTAATAAAGAGTTGGAAAATGTAAAAGATTATTTTTTCTATTTTTAATAATAATTTTTTAATTGCCACATCACATATTTAACGTTCAACTATGAAAGTTGACTGCCACGTAAGCTAGAGTTCACGGAAATGGACGGAGAGTGACCAAACTTGAACCATTTAAATAATTTGAGTGACCAAGATTGAATTTAAGTATTTCCAGTGACCAAACGTGAAAGTTTTTTGTAATCTCAGTGACGAACCATGCAATTAATCGTATAACAAAAACAAAAGAAATTATAATGATCTTCACATTTTGTCCGGGATACCCATGTGTTTGTTTTAAATGACACTACACAGAGGAAGCCACACCAGAATCAGTCTGATTCCATTCTTTCACCGAGTCTGCAAATCAAACATTCATGTACACATCTTAGCACTCGCCATCCAACCGACCAACCAATCATCGGGATTACATTACCATTCGGCATTCACATGCACAAGATGAGCTACTCAGAAGGTAGCTATTGGAGAAACACCAGCATTTTAAGAACAGCAAGTGGCGCTTGCTGCCCTTTCCGCGGGTCTATCCGTGAGAACCATCCCAGAGGGGTTCTGTGCTGGCTGAACTCGCGGTAGTCTTTTAGCTGCAAGGAAGAAGACACGGTGCCAAACAATCAATAGAAAGAAAATCTAGCAATTTCAAGGAGATACAAGTTCTCAAAAGAATGCATCAAAAGCATATAAATAAACAACATAGCAAAAATACTATGCAGGCGTCTCCTGTCCTTTTCCTAATAAAGTTCATCACCATTATATAAAATAAAATAAAAACTATGCAGGCACTGCAATAAGGTGCACAGTCATTTTCCAACTCTAGTTAATGAATTCGATCCTGAAAGCAAGGTACCTATTTCATAGAAAATGTCATTGACATTAGTTGCAGTTTTTGCTGAGGTTTCCATAAAGAAAAGGCCATTCTCCTGGGCATAGACTTGTGCCTCCTGCAATCCGAACCATGTTAATAATAAAATCATCCAGACAGAGAGGTAAGCATGAGAGAAATAGTGGCAGGGGTTCAACAAGGTTAGACACTTGCCTCAGCTGCCACCTTCCTATCATCAAGCAAATCAGCCTTGTTCCCAGCCAGAGCCATAACCATATTTGGATTACCTTCAGAAAAAAAGGATGAGATATATAATGTGAACAATTTGGAACATGAACAGGAACAGGAAATTTGTTTAACACACAGCAAATCGGTACAGAACCAATATGGATCATCATAGAGGCCAGAGCTGCATGCTAAAAAGACAAAGCTTCCTTACAGTCCGAATGATTTTCACATTCATGCTATATGACTAAGAGGTGCATCATGAACTCATCAATACAACAACATTTGAGAAAGATACGCTTAAGGGGATAGAACAATTCCTAACAAATATAACACTACCTTGTGCTTGCAGTTCTTGTACCCATTTCTTTGCCCTATCAAAGGAGGCCTACAAGAAAAGGTAGAGGTGAGACCGTGGTAACTGCTGATTTAGACACAAACAACTGCAAATTCGGGATACAAATAAATGAATATGACATGTACCTTAGAGCACCAGAGGAAAATTAAAGATAAAGCATACACTAGCAAGAATTTACCATGACTATTCAGCGTACGTCCAATATCTTTTTACTGACAAGGCATATGCAATGCGCATAAAGCGTAAAAATCCAATTCCGTTAGATAGTGTCATTAATAATAGACTGCCACTCACCTGATTTGTAATGTCATACACAATGATTGCTGCTGCAGCTCCCCGATAGTACATGGGTGCAAGGCTGTGGTATCTCTCTTGACCTGCTGTGTCCCATATCTCAAACTTCACAGTAGCATCATTCACAGCCAGTGTTTGTGAAAAGAAGGCAGCACCGATTGTTGATTCCTAAAGAAACACAACAAAATTCAAGTTCAAACGCCAACCAGGAGAGATGCAATGACTATGTTATGAACCTCCAAATCATTCCTTGTACCAACCTGAAACTCAACAAACTGCCCTTTGACAAATCGCAGAACAAGACTAGATTTTCCAGCACCAGGGTCGCCAAGGAGAACCTGGATCACATTAAACTTGGGTTAGGACACATATTTTGTAAGTGACCCAACCGAATACCACTAACAAGTTTAGATGCAGCTATATGCAAACTACTAAAGAAGCCTCGTTGACCCAACCGAATACCACTAACAAGTTTAGATGCAGCTATATGCAAACTACTTGCTAACCCACGCGGCATAACAGATGTTTGTACGACAAACTTTCTTAACGAAATGGCCATGAAAGTAGAAATAGAATGAGGCATTTCTAGTGCCGATTTGGAACTATGCTCAACAACAGTGAACTTCCGATCAAATAAGTATAAGAACACAACCAAAGAAGCTGAAAAATGAAAGTCCACTGTTCTTCAATACCTTTCTAGGCAAATCAGATTACAAACTGACCCTGTGAGGTGAGAGAACAGTTCGAGAAATACGTCACATACTTTGTTATGTAAGTGGGCATGTAAGAAGGGAACTTTCAACAAGCTGTGAACATCCAGCAGCAGAGAACACTCCAACGAACTGAGTTCACCATAGTTAGCAAACTGGAAGGTAGAATTTAGCAAGATATTTCAAGTTCAGCCAAAAAAGGAACCATGTTTCTAAACATTATAAGAATCGCATAAACCCATCAGGGTGAGCATTAAGAAAGCAAGCCAAGGAAAGCAATAGGAAGCCATTCGCCGCTGAAAGGGCCCTCAACAACGGAAGGGAAAGGCCAGCAAATTCACACCGACAAGGACATGCAGTACTGAAAACATCGCCGGTCAAAAACAGGGAGGAGGGAAAGCTGGATGAGCTCCGATCAGAAATGTGAAAGGCTTAGCTAGCCAAGTCAATCAACGACAGAATTGACCTCCGAAATTGGAATGGAAAATTGGGCGACAAGGACGAGATCGAAAAGAGTTAAACCTAAACCCACATCTCAATTCAGTGATACCCCAAAAGAAGGGGAAAAACAGAGAGAGACCCCTCAAAAGCTATTGTTTCAGTCACGGCAAACGATCAGGGCTGCGGCCAGGATCGGGAGACGGCGAAGGGGGTTACCTCGCATTCGCAAAACCCACAATTGAAACACGGATGATAAGCAAAGAGGACAAGAGGAAGATCAGGAAGAGAGCTCACCAATTTAGCGTTGATGTTCTTGTTCCCGGTGGCAGCCATGAGTACTAGGTGGGTGGTGGGTTAATCGCGAATCGGACCGAAAAGATGTCGATCGATCAACTGAACTGTTGTTATTAAAGAAAAGAAAAGATCAACAGGAATTCACAGGCGAGGAAGGCCAGCGTTGATGAATTGAACGCGGCCTGGGCAAACCAACGCACGGAGGGAGACAGAGGCGGAGGAAGAGAAGGAAGCTTCTTCTTTTCTTCTTCGTCGCTTTTCTGAATTGTTAGGCTTTAGTACTTTGGGTTTGATCTCTCTTCTGTGTAAAGGAGACGAGACGAGATGAGAAGAAAACGATTGGTTTTGGTGTATTTTTGTTTCTTTCTTATCTGCTAATATTTATTTATTTATTTATTTATCCTGGAGGCTAGAAAAGTATTTATATAGCTTTTCTGCCACGTTTATGACGCAACAAATCCACGTTTCGACGGCTCCGCCTCGCCGGTGTGTAAATGCGTACTCCGCCTCTGCGGTTCACCACTTTACCTACCGACGATTACTCACCGCGGTTGCAGAGGGGCTCTGGAGCAGGGGTGGCATCCGGTTCGATAAATTCGAACCAAACCGAAACTGAATCAAACCAAACCAAAATCGAAATAATGTTATTCGGTTCGGAATTCGGAAGGGAAATATGGATATTTCGGAAATTAGGGTTCTTTCAACCGAATTGAATTTTTGACCGAAAAACCGAAATACTATAATTGCATGCTTCAAATTATGTTTGTAGTTGTTTTTAGACTTAAATATTTGAAATGTTTTATGACTTATGTGTTGAAAAGATTGATTTTATTATTGATGATGCATATAATTGCATATTTATTATTCATATTAGGGGGAAAAATAATTTAAAAGTGAGAAGATACAAGGAACCTCACAAATTCGATTTTGTGAGAAAAACCTAACCGAACCGAATTATAATTCGGTTCGAATTCGGTTTGAGGTTTAGGTAAATTTTTGGGGACCCGGTATTGATAATTTCGGTTCGATCGAAACCGAACCGGCCGAATTCCCACCCCTACTCTGGAGGCTCCGGTTCCTTTCAGTAACATGGTTACTCGTAACTAAATCCCAACCATAAATTTAAGTGGATCCAGAAAATTCAGATTTATTAGTGAAAAATTAAAGACATTTTTATTTTCATTTGTTTTCTTAATTGGCTCATATCTTCTTCATTTTAACTCGGATTTAAAAAAAAAAATCCCAGATGGAACGAGTTTGTTGTGCTCTACAAAATGAGATCCATTTTCAATATTTTTTGAGAAAAAAAATTTTATTTGCCTCTCGTTACCAATTGCATACCATATGGTATCTTCTTCATTTTTAAATAGTTTTTGAAATTTTTTGCATAGAAGGATGGAGTTCATCATGATCTTGCATCTACAAATTTCTGGGTGAACAAAATACATGACGGAAAAATATCACACAAAACCACCCTGATATGGGGTGGTATTTTGTGGTACACAATGTTGAAAGTTGTAAATGACAGTAAGTATACTCCTACTATCATGTATTCAATTATCCTCCAGTCTTTGTATGTTCATAACATCATGAAAAGCTTTTTCATACCATATGGTATGCTCTTATTTATTATTAGTCAATACCATATGGTATATACTGGTAAAAAATGGCTCAATTTTTTTTGTTTCTGTTGATGCCAAGCTTAGAGCAGTCTGCTTCAATATGTTTAAGGTCCGGAGAGCGCTGATTTCCCAAAGCCTTTAACCACCTCCAGCTTCGTGCGAATACTTGAGAAAAAAGGTCCCGCCGGGGGTCCTGGTTGGAACCTCCTCCGACGCTCAAATTAGTAATCTAAATGGAATAAAAATAAATACGATGACGTTAGACCTGATTCGGTCCCACGGTCGTAATTGAGCGCCGTCGGCTATTTAATGCCGCCCGGTGGAGGCTGTCCACGATTCCATGGCTTAGTCCGCCAAATTGAGGGGGTGTTGAGTGTTTAGAGATTTAACCCGTTTTTGGGAGATCGGGAGGAGAGATAAAACGCTAAAGTTTTGGCTATGTAAGTGTATTTTGCCTATTTATTTTTATTCCATTCAGATTACTAATTTGAGCGTCGGAGGAGGTTCCAACCAGGACCCTCCCCGGTGGGACCTTTTTCTAGGTATTCGCACGGAGCTGGAGGTGGTTAAAGGCTTTGGGAAATCAGTGCTCTCTGGACCTTAAACATATTGAAGCAGGCTGCTCTAAGCTTAGCATCAACAATTGGTGCCCACCGTGGGGCCTGGTGAGAAGAATATTGCCAAAGTCTGACAAAATCACCGCCACATTGTGATGAATATTCAGGATACTACCATCATACTTACCATCAAAGCGGAGAGTCGCCCGATTACAACAATCAATAGTGGGGGCAATCTAACCCCATTATCAATTAGGGGGCACAATTCAAGAATTAGGCCAAGCCAAGGGCCAATGGGTCGAGAAGCTGCCATATGTGCTTTGGACGAACAATTACAAAACTTCCACTGGGGAGATGCCATACTCACTGACATATGGCACTAATATTATGCTGCCAATTGAAATGGGGCTCTCCTCTTACAGAATCCAACCATTCCACCCCGATAAAAATCAAATCAAGCTCACTCATGATCTACACTCATAGAAGAGCATCGAGAATACACACTTATGCTACTTGTCCCTTCGAAAGAGAGGATCACACGTTATTACAACGTCAAAGTGAGAAATTAACCCATCTGGGAAGGAGAATGGGTTCTCAGGAGAAACTTCAAAAACATTCCAAGTCAGGGAAATTTTACTCCCCAGTAGGAAGGTCCTTACAAGATGCGCAAAGTGGTGGGACCAAATACAGTCAAACTATCTCTCCATGATGACTAGGATATGTCACGTAAAACTCCAAAATTTACGCCTCATTTGGTAATCATTTCTACACTCTCTTCATTACTAGGTAAATTATGCACTAGGTTGTGCCAAAATAACTTCGCATGTGCAAAAATATTCATGTCACAATTTGAGGCTAAGATACTAAAAGAAGACATATATATCCAGTAAGTCCTATGCTCGTGATCTAAATTAAAGTGAGGATATGAACAATTAAAACGATTTCTTTAAAACATGTTCTGTCATCTTCTTATCGATAGAAAAGTCACGATCATTTTCCATAATCTCCTGCCAAAATCACAATAATTTCTCGTGATTTTCTACCGACAAGGGGGGCAATTGATGGACCTGATATTCACCTGCTTTAATCTACCTATTTTTACCCCAATTGTGATGAAAAGGTTATTAAATAATTAAATTTATTATATCCTATTATTATTACTCTTAGTTTATTATTATTTTCTTAAACCTTTCCCAACTTTCCTTCACTTTCTCCCTCTTTCCTTCCCTTTCTCCCACAAGTGGCAGACGCCACCTCATCTCCCTCCCTTACTATTTCTTTCCACACTCCCTCTTACGTAAACTTCCTTCTTCTCCCAACCATTTCCTACACTTTCATTTATCTTCATTTACATCCATGTTCATGCATACACATACATACGATTCCCATCCCTACTCTTTCCTTCAATTTCCACTACATATCTATACTTCTTCTACTTTCACATACACCCTTACACTTTCTCAAATACTATACTTGATAAGGAATGTTGGTGTATGACGGAGAATATTGAGGTATAGCGGAGAATATTAACGAGTATAGGAGTATAGCGGAGAATGTTGGTGAATGTTAACGTAAGTTGAGTAATTCAACTATGACTTTTTCCTATAAATAGGGAGCACCCCTCCTCCTTTCTCATAACAACAAGTCACTTACGACTACTTCACACAACACAACTCACACACAATATACACTCTCTCTAAAAACGTTTGTGCCAATAATAGCCAAATTTGGAGAAATACCACTTATAGCCACTTCATCCAATTCTTTAATGGTGTTAGTGTTAAGTCTTACTGGATAAACGAAAGTGCTGACCTGGCGAGCACTTCCGTCCAATTTTGTCTGTCAAAATCCACGTGGATTTATTAAATTACATAAAAAAAGAGATTGAAATCGACAGCCTCCTCCCAAACCCCCCCATTGCCGCCCTTCAAACTCTCCTCCTCCAACCCGCAATATTTCCAGGCAGCAAAACAGCTTTCGCCGCAGATCTGAGCCCTCCGTCGCGGATCTGAGCCGGCTCGGTCTCGCTTGGAACCCGGCGCGGCGCCTCTGCTGGTGAGAGCTCGGCCGGATCAAGGCCGCCAGCGCTCTTTTCACCAGGTCGCCTTCCACGTCGCAGATCCTCACCAGCGAGTTCGTCAACGCGGATCTGCGCGCGTTGAGGCGGTTGTTCGGCGCGTGCGCCGGCGCGTTCTGGTTCATGTCGAGGCTGCAGCGGAAGGACCCGGGGTGGTTCGTCGGCGAGCACATACAGGTCTTCTTGGGACCCGGCTGCTTCCTCACCACCTGCGTCTTGCGCCGGGATGGGCTGACGGTGGAAATCGACCGGTTGGGAGAGACCGACCCGTCGAGGGAGAAGCGGACGGCGGAGGCCGACATGGATTGGTCGGATTTCTTCACAATCCATCCATTCCTTCATATGCAAAACCCAGAACAACTGATTGTTGCTGGTGAAGAGATGGTTGGGAGAGGAGATGGAAAGGAGGAGGAAGAGAGGCGCAGTGGAGGAGGAAACAAAGAGAGAGAAGGATTTTCTGGATTGGATTAGAGATTTTTTTGTTGGGGGTAGAAGGTGGTTAGATGAGAGAGACGGAGGAGGAGACTCTAATTTTTTTTTAATTTAAAATATGACGTGTCCATAATTGCTTAGTTGGTGCTGACGTGTTCGATTTCTTCTCGCCTAATCAGCAAACCGTCTACTAATTTGACGGTGTTACTAACACCGTCAATGTTTCTAACGGAAAAGGCTATATTTGTCCAACAACATTTTCAAAAGGTGGCTATAAGTGGTATTTCGCCAAATGTGGCTATTATTGGCACAAACGTGAAAGTTTTGGCTATGAAACTGTATTTTGCCAAA